TACCTGATGGGGAAAGGAGGGAAGGAGGAAGAAAGAAAAAGTAATAGGGATGGGGAGAGAGGGAATAAGAGATTCTACAACAAGGATTCTTGGACAATAAGTGATCTGAATTACTGCAGTATTTTTATAGTGATTAAATATATGCGTTAGGCTGAAATGGATCTGAGGATACAGTCTATTCCCTTATGTGAATTAGGATCACCCCAGTGGGTATTTATTTAACTTAAACATGTGTTGAGATGTGGATTCTCTACAAATGATAAACAGGTCCATCATTTAACTGTCCTGATAGCTGGGCTGTTTTCAATTAGCATCTAATATAAATCCCCTTTTCTGTACTTGTAGCTTGAATTAAAACCGGGTCTAATTTATCTACATCTTTCTTGAAAGATGAAACCCCAAACTGAGAAAAGTGCTGTTGTGAGAATTTAAGGAGACACTGCTTACCTTGTCTTTTGTTTCTGCCAGTGAATTCCACTTCATTACAACAATATGGTATTTTTTGATCATTATTCACTTTGTGATCCACCAAACCTTCACACCTTTTTGCATTATTTGCAGTTGTCCTCTATTTTCTCTTTTTTAATTGTTTAACACTTTAGGAAAAATGTAATACTTGTGTTTCACCTCTGTCAAAATAAAAACAAGTTGCTGTGTTTCTGATTTAGAAGAATCCTGTTATCATTTGATCAGATCTCTGAATTCATTAAAATGAACCTAAATGACTGTCAAAATAAATCTATCTATCTATCTTGACGTCATGTATTTACATGATTATAACATGAAATATAGAAGTCCAATTCTGTTTTCTGATATTCAGGTGTAAATACATTTACTGCAGTTGTCCCTCCAGATCTGACCTCATTAAAACTGAAAATACTGTGTGTATCTTATTATTGCAGAAATAGTTTATCCAAAAAGAACTATTCAGGGAATACAGCTAGCCGTTCTTTTTCTTTCTTTTTTTTTTTTTCCCTTTATTCTCAAAACAAGACTTCTCTGTATAATGTAATACTTTCCATTATCTGAAGGAAAATATTTTGGTATCAAAGTCATGCTCTGGATATGATGCCTCCTGTTCTGAATGTGATGATCAGGGAATTCTCTTTCACTGCTCTCATATATCAGTACCAGTTATGGTCCATATAACTGTCATTGTTTCAGTAACCTGCAAATTTGTTGCTGTAATGAAGCTTCCCGATAAACAAAGTTATTTTTCTTTATTAAGTCAGTGGTTGGATCTACAGCTGAACAGAAAGGCTTATTGTGTAAAGATCTGAGGTTATATGTAACATATTTTGAAATGCTGTATATGGGCAGGAGAATATAGTCATGGTTACAGCAATAGGCAGGAAATCACAGTTTTGAGTCTTGGCTGTGCCACAGACTTTCTGTGTGACTTTGGACAAGCTACTCTTTGTGCATTAGCTAATAATACTATCTCTATCTCCCAGGGGTGTTGTGAGAATACATTCATTAATGTTTGTAAGGCGCTTGGATGCTATAGCGATGGGGCCATATAAGCACTTAGAGAAACAATCCATTTTTGCAACAATGTGCATCTCCCTGACTAAGGACTTTTTTGCTGGAAGTTTTTCATAGATGCTTGTTATGAATAAATCTACTTTATAATGAGACAGTGAGGTTAAACTGCCTTTTGGAGTGCAGTTTCACTTTAGTATTCAGAACAGGTGTAAACAGTCATAAGTTTGAAAGCCGTTCCCAAAGAAAGAGAAATACCATTTCATAGTCAGACATTTGAATAGAAAAGATACCTCTCCTGATTTATCTAGTTCAAAACATGGAGGATTATTTACATCTGTATCTGTCTCACAAATAGTTTATTCTATTTCAAGCACTTCTCATTACATTGTCTAAACTACCTCCTCAGGCAAGTCATTTCATTGCCTAATTGGCTTTAAAGTTAAACAGTTTGCTCAAATGTCTACCCTGCTTTTTGCTTGTGGATATAGGCTGCTCTTTTAGTCTGTCCTTTCTTTCTGGAATAACCTTCACTCATGTGTTTGATTCAGACACTGCACAGTTACAGCAGGTTAAAAAGGTATTGCTTTAGTGCTGATGTGAGGTAAATTGGTAAGCCACTCTAACTTGATTTGATAATCTGCCTGGCTGAGTGCTGGTCAGTGTTAAAATCTGAATATGAGGTTCAGCATATTAGCACCAAGGAACAGAAAAAGAGTATTCAGTATTTTCAAGGCTTTTGTAGAGGACTTGGTGAGAGATTTCCAACCTAGGAGAAAAGGTTCTGCAAAGACTTCATAAGAGATTTTGTTTTAACTTGGTTTTTTTTTTTATTTGTAGAAACCAGTGGTAGCAGACAAACTGTGCAAGTAAGAGATCTGGAATAACATGAGCAGTCAGTGAGGACAATGAAGAGGGCTATGCAGCTTTTGAGGCTCAGAAAACAAGTTATCTGTTGTGCTTTCATGAAAAGCTTTCTAACTTGAGGGCTGAGTTCAACCAAAATATTTATGAAAGCAAGAGATCATTAGAAGACAGAGACCTTATATTTGTCCCAATGATGGGAACAAACACTATGTCCTTTCCTACTGTATTAAATGTAGAGAATTGACATGGTCTTAAAAAATGTCCAACTGTAGGAAATCAGTGAATTGCAATCAAATTACACGATGTAAACATACAGGAGAACAGGCCTTATTTGGATCATGAGGTTGCTTGCTTGCCATGAAATTCATCCACTATTGTTGTTTGAATATGTACTGAATAGAATTGCTTGTAATAACATTCCCATATGAGTGATAGTGTAAATGCTTCTCAAGATGACTATTAGTTTAAGCTATGGTTAAGACTTCCCTCACAATGCAGGAGAAGAAAGCTTTTTAATTATTTCTTGGTTTGTTTTTTTTTTTTTTTTCTTCTCTCTGTGAGCATCAGGGCTTGATTTGGGTTGATACCCTCTTATTATACACATACATAACATATACTACTCTGGACAGAAGAACTAAAAATGAAAGAAGTAAACTATACTATTGCAGTGTTGTAAAAACTTATTACAAAAGGACCCACAAATATCAACTCTCAATCTTGTAGAATGCACAACTGTCAGGCTGCTCCCAACTTTATGGATTGTTGTTTTCTGGATTTAGCTAAAGATACACAGTACAGCCACCTTTTCTTTCAGTTTGTCAGTACAGGCAGGACCCGTTTTAGGGGACTCTTAATCAGAATTCCAAATTTTGTAATATTACTTGGTACAGGATAGAATAAAAGTATTAATGAAGTCAAGGAGAGGAAACTTCCTTTCACAGTCGTTTGTGAACCAGTATTTGGCTCAGTTGCTGTATACCCTAACATGTCTTTTGAATTTTTAGTTTATTTATGTTTATGTTTCTTGAGCGTTATTTTAGTGAAATCCTATGTTACCAAAATTTCCTGTATAAATGCATCTTTATAGTGCAGCAACACTAAAATCTCTACCAAAATGAGAAAAAATGTAACTCAAACGATTACTTTTATCTTCTCAAAAATTAGGAAATTTTTCTATCTTGTGTCAAACTAATCCTCTTTGAGATGCTGTATGCATCACACAAAAATAATTGGGATGATAAAGACAGCTATAGTCTAAAAAATCAGATACCTTTTTACAAAATTTAGTTCTGACAGTCAGCCAATTAAAATAAACATTATCATTGCGAACAGTGGAAAATTCAAATTTCTATTAAAGAATTTCTGTCTTATGTTTTGTCTGTCAAAAAGAATATTACACATCTTCAACAGTATACTTAGCAAAAGAAAATAAAACAAACATACTGAAGCTCTTACAGTTGCATTACTTTGTTTTTGTCACTGCCTTCTCAAGAATGTTTCTGTGTATAAGAATCAGCAGGGTACATAATGTAGAAAGGGTAAAGCCTTTTTCTTTTGGCAAAGTAAATTGCAGCTGTTTCTCACAATAGGAGGTCATTGGTCATATACTGGTTCTATCTATTTTGATAAGACTACATTTTGATAAATATCTTACCTATGGCATGTCTGTAGGATTGATACCAGTTGCACGTGTTTACTTCAGCAAAATATCTTCTCCCTTGCTGATCCCTCAGGTGATACTTAACATACAATTAGATGTTATCTTGCTAATACTATTTGATGTTTCAGTTTACTACATAAAAGTACACACCTGCTTCACATATACCCCCCTTATATTGTTCTGAAGTGATTATGAAAACAAAATATTTTAAAACCTAGTGGTTCCTAATGGAAGAAAATAAAAGTCTGTTACATGTAGGCAAAGGAAAAACAAACCAAAATGTGGTCTTCATTCAAAACAAATCTAAGATCTCCTTTTTAACCATAACAATTATTCCAGTAAGGATACTGCTTTTTGCTGGACCCTCATTTTTAGAAGTAATCGTCATGTGTTTTGGGGATTTGATTTGTTCTGATTTTATAGAATTCCATTGGTTTACTGTGAAAAAAAGAGATTTTCTTTCTATCCCTGTGTCTTCATAAACTTAAACAAAATCCAAAAAGCAAGCTATATCTGGATCCAATATTTTGTGGCATTAGACTTTAACTTCTTATTTAACATGGTTTTACTAGGAAGGCTATAACTAGGTAAGTGCTGTGTACTGTACTAGAACTCCTTTGTAGGAAAGATATGAATACTTAACCTCTTTCAAATAGAAGAGGAGAGGGTGGGGAGAGAGACTGTTTTACCACATTTCATTTACATCAGACGCAAGTGGATGTGTTTGGTTAACTTTTCATCTGAAATGATGCAAAAAAACTCTTCTAAAAATCAGTGAGAGTCAATTTTATGAGTACTGTTCTCAGCATCCTAAAGTAGCTGTTAGATACAGTAGGATGACTGTAAGGGGAAACACCGAAGTCTTCAGTTCTAAATCTTCAGGTGTGCGTGCTGTTAGACCCACCGATGTTATATAGTTTGTTCTGTGTTCGTTTCCTTTTGCATTTTCAGACATGATTTCAATTGAATCATTTATGGTTCTTCCATTCAGATTTTAACAGCTATTTTGGAGCGGATAACCCTCAATGGCTGTATATGAGACATTGCCCGGGGTGCTTCCAAGATGCTTTTGAGCTGGGTAAGGAAATCACTGAGTGTTGACACATTCTCAAAGCACTATGGCATGGATTGAGAGCATATGGTTTATAAACTGTGTTACTGACCTATTATTCAGTACTTTACTGACAGAATAGACTATACCAGTTTCCTCTGAAATGCTAAACAAAACTAAATAAACTTTTTTTTTGTAAAAAAGAAAAGGTAAAAGTATTTTAAAAAAACTAAATACAGTATATAATCTCTATATGGTAATTCATACATAAAAACTTCAAATCATCATTACCCACTTCTGATATGTCTACTTCTAGCATAGTAGCCATTCAGTGTATAATATCATACTAATCTAATGTCACGTTAGCACTATATTAGTACACCAGTGAGGTAAATCATACTCAGATTTTTACTGTGACTTTCAGGTCAAAGCTATATTTCTATTTTAAAACGATGTAAGCATGCAGAAAAATGGTTCCTATTAGAACAGCATAATTTAAAACAAAACCAAAGAGGTTGCTTCCTTCTTAAAATAACCTTTTCAGAAAAAGTTTTTTGAAAAGGTGCTATGTGGCAGCTGCTTCATTAACTGTAGTAAGTTATAGGCGTCCTGAGGTATCTGGTAAATAGAAGTAATAAGCTTCCTACAAAAACAAACAGACAAGCAAATAATGAATAGGTTGTGCATGCAAGAGAAGGTTATATTAATCTGAAACTCCTGCCATTATCACACACAGGTGTACATAGATGGGCCTCCAGTGTGTTAATTCCACAGGGTCCAGTAATAAATCTCAGATTAAGTTTCAGTAATCCATTTTCATCCTATAAAAAAAATTGGCTTATACATTTAGTATTAACTGGCCATATTTAATAATAGCTAGAGATTTGCTGATATTTTTCTTTTTCTTTACTATCAAGAACTAGTAGACTATATTATACATGAATGGCTTGTACAATGATTGTTTTATATTTCAGAATTACCAACAAGTTTGTGTTCTCAGATTAAAGATTGTAAATTTAAAAACCATTAACACCTTTACTTATTTCTGAATACACACCCAGAAGAAACTTAATATATAAAATTCTGTGTCTCTTTTAATGTCAGTCTGATGCAGGTGCAGATCTCCAAAACATGCATTTTCAGGTCAAAAGGAGTGCCATAGTGGTAAACCCATTTTAATTTACACTTAAAATGTAATAGTTGTTAATTTTGTGCATGTAACAATTTTCAACTGTTAACATTTGAGGGTTTGAATAATTTTTTAAAGAATCTGCACTTAACATTTGTCTGAAAAATATTTATTTCCCCTCTCCTAGCTTAATAGCAACCAAAGATTACTTCTTCCCTCAATATCACCCTGCACGCTCAAACATTACCTAGGCAGTTGTTGTCTCTTCTGCATACATTCAGAACCTGTTCTAACTTACCGTGGAGGTGCCTGGTTTGTTCTGGATATGCTCCACTTTTGCTGCAGCTCCCTTTTCTACATAGTACAGTAAGAATCACTACTGGAAAGAATTAAAAGTGGCCATTATGAGCCTGACTACAGCTCCTGATCAATTTTTGTCATATCCAGGTTTTGAGGTGGAAGTCAAAAGCTAAAGAAATATAAAGAAAGTTCTCTGGTTAAACTTCAAGCAATGGCTCAAAGAGCTTATTGGTCAAGTTGCCAGTGAGTATGAGTTTGTATAGTAGAATTCATTACAGAATTGGGATTTTTTTTTTATTTTTCCCCCTCCAATAAGATGAGAGGAAGCAACAAACATCACAAATCTATTAACTTATTAACTAACTTCTCCATACAACACTATTAGCCATTCTGCAAGGGTTTGCTGTGATGTGACTCATAGAGTTACTGTGTATTCAGCATGGATTTCTCTGTGGGTCTCATTCTCAATTCTGAACTTCCTGAATGTTACAGTATTTTACATGTGTAGTTTTTGGTTAGACCTCCAAGAATTGATGCTGGAAACTATGGCTAAGAAGTAAATTCCCTAAATTTCATGCATTTAATCATCCTGGTTATAATACAAATCCTTTTTCTAAAAAAAGGAGTAAACAGTTGTATTTTGAGATGTTTTTAAAAATCCAGATGATTTCAAAATAAATAAAAAGTAAAAAAAAAAAAAGGATAAGCCACTCGATTTCACTGTGATTTTTGTGAGTAGCCCTATAGTCATTGGAACGCTTGAGCCTTGACATCAGTCTTAACTGTGAGTTTCAATAGTTTTATGCTCTCTCTGAATTATCATAGAATCACAGAATGGTTTGGGTTGGAAGGGACTTTCAAAGATCATCTAGTCCAAGCTCTGCCATGGGCAGAGACATCTTTCACTAGGTCAGGCTGTTCAAAGTCCCATCTAACCTGACCTTAAACACTTTGGTATCAAGACAACAATCTTAAAACTGGAGGCAGGTAGAAAGGCGCTTAAGACATTGTTACAGGATCTCTTTGAGATCACTAGTTCTCCTTTTGATGTAAATTCCTAACTATTCAGGTCTTATTAGATGAATGAAGTCATATTTTGAAGACAAGAATAGATGAAGGCCATAGACAAACCAGAAGAAACTGGGAGCAGGAAAGGGTGGGGAGACATATGCTGCAGTAATACAAGTTATCCATTAAGACATGTGTGGTTCTTTAAATTAAATTCTGATTTTCTTTAACCTCTCAAACATAAAACTATCCATAGGCAGTCATATCATATGTAGTCATGTATTACAGAAATTAAATCACATCATTTAGCTGCCTCTTTCTTCAGACATTAAAATATTTCTTCCTGAACAGGTTGTGTGAAAACTTGGTACATCTCGTATATAAAAAAAAAAGTTAAAAAATTCTACCCTGGAAGGCAAGAATGAGTTTCAGTACTGCAGATTCTTCACAGAGTATATGCTGCCTGGCTCCTGCCTCACTGTTAGTTCATTCATTACAGCTCATGTATTTTCTCATATGCATACTGGCACTATAGTTCCTTGGGATCTGTACTGGTTGCAAATACCATCAGCATAGGAACTGGATTTTTTAAGGCTCTAAATTTTTTAATCCCAGATGCATTGAGGTTTTTCTATGTAGAAAATTCCCCGGGTCATAATGCTGTCATTGTTCTCAGTAGGAAACCTTAATTGCAGAGCTAGTTGGATAAGAGTTGGATTAGCTGGCAGAGTGTTGTCTGGAAAATCTTTCAGCTGTGCAATGTTATCACTTCCCCTACATCCCCCCACCCCATCCCTGAGGATTCCTAGCCTACTGCATTTGGTGAGATACATATGTTTTCCCCAGCTACAGGAGCTGTGAAGGGTTCCTCTGGGATATCTAAGTATAAATACCCAAGTGTGTCTTCAGTTGCTAGGTTATTTTTAGTCAATGGGTGGTTACCAAGTCATCTATAATTGTGCTGTTAAATGTGTCAGAGCAGCTACTGCAAATCGAGGTGCTCCCTGTAACAGGTTGAGCATATAAAATAAAATGAAAGAGGACAAAACCAACATTTTGGAATTGAGCTGTTTCAAGAGTTGAATTATCTAAGGGAGATTGCGGGGTGGACAGATTCGAGGAGGATGATCCATGAGTGCAACATGGACAGGGTCAACATGGAGCATAGTTTGACTATACTACATGTAGTACCTGTAACTGGCATATTGTGTCATTTCAGATATGTGTTTTGGGAGAATGTCCCAGTGGTTCAAGGAATAAGAGGGATCTTACAGAACCTTACAGTTCTTCTTAGGCAGGTCTTATACAGCCTTTGTCTGTGGTGGCCAAAAGCTGTTACCAACTAGTGACTGCTGTGTGGGAGAAAGAGCAATGAGTTCCCAGTGGACAACTGTCTACATGGCACAAACTGCTAGCACAGTTCTTTCTCTATAAATAGAAAAGAGGAAGAAAATCATACCTGAATAGAAAGCCAGTAAGATGGTAGGAAGAAGACATGAACAGCAAAATAATGCAACTGAAAAGCAAAATGAAACAAAGTTACTTATAAAAGCCCCATAAATCATCAAATGTTCTAAATAAACATGCACTGTAGCAAGGATATTAAACATTGGTTATTATAAATTACCTAGGCTATGCTACCGTTTTTATGGATCTGCCACTAGGAGCCAGAACAGGAAGCATGGTATGATTTGTCAAAAAATACTAAAGACATATTAATGTATCACCCAATTTGGTAAGTGAAGGAAAAACAGTTGAAAAATTGAGATGTTCATGGAAGGATATGGTCAAATGGATGGGTATTTATGGTTCCTACAGCAGCTGCATCATGTCACGAATCAGAGATTAATAGCATCTTTTTAGATATTAATTTCTACTCCAGTGGCACTTGCCCACCATCAGCTGAAGATCAGGGATAAAATTTTGAGGACTGCTGTAGTTCTGACTAGCTCAGAAGCAAAGAAATGCCAGCCATTGGTATGCAGAGAACAGAGGGGGGGAAAAAAAGACTTAAAGGCTGCAAAAACTAATTGGTATAAATATATCCATTTGTATTGAATCCTATATATTCAATATATCATCTATTTTAGTTAGATTCAAAAAGGAAAAGGATTTATAATGCCACTTCATATATATGTGAAAGATGAACTGGGTGAATTTCAACAAAATAAAATGTTAATCTTAGCATCAGGAGAAACATTCCAGCTGAGAGAACCACTGGGCTGGAATAACCATCTCAAGTGACTGGTGACAGACTATTGCCTGAGTAATTCAAAAGTAACAAAAATGAGATCCAGTGGGCACTGGCAAAGGTTTGGTCTAGATAACCTAATAATAGCTATTGTCTGCTCTATTTTTTTTTTTCCAAGACAGTAGTAGTTTCCAAATTCATTAGTGAAAATGGGATGTAAGGATGTAAACTACCACACCCAAAGTGTGTTGTCATTATCATGGAAACTATTATTATAATAATGGCCAGTCTTCGCAAGCGAAGATCCGGGGAAGGTCTTTACGCCTTCCAGCCTGCGCATTGGATTTTTTAGGTGAGACACAGTGTGCGCGGAACTGAGCCCACCCTGACCGGGAATCG